TGTGGATTTTGTATTGATTTCAGAGAGGAAAGGAAAGGCAGAGAGAGATAGAAACATCAATGATGACCAAGAATCATCGATTGGCTGCCTCCCACACGTTCCCCACTGAGGATCAAGCACACAACTTGGGCATATTCCCTGACTAAGAATTGAACCATGACCTCCTGGTTCATAGGTCCACACTCAACCCCACTGAGACACACCTGGCTGGGATCCATTCTTTTCTTTTAGAAATTCATGGTCTTCAGTTTTGGGACATTTTCCTACATTATTGTGTTGATGAATTCCTTCTTCCTCTTTCTCTTTTCACTCTTTCTGGAACTGTTACCAAGATTTTAAACATTAGAGAACTAGTCCTCTAATTTTTATTCTTTTCTTTATTTTCATTTCTATAATCTTCCACTGTACTTTCTGGGAAATGTCCTCAATTTTTTTCTTTAACTCTTTGCTAAATGTTTTATTTCTTTTTTTTATTTACAGGAGCTTTTAAAAATTCTTTGAATGTTTCTTTTTACATTACTTTTTTCTGTTTTGTGATTTTATTGTCTTCTCTGAGGATTCTGATAGTTTTCTTTTTCACGCCCCCTACTGGGGATATGCCTGCAACCAAGGTACATGCCCTTGGCTAGAATCGAACCTGGGACCCTTCAGTCAGCAGGCCGATGGATGCTCTATCCACTGAGCCAAACCGGTTAGGGCCATAGTTTTCTTTGTTATTGAAAATTTCAAACATACAGTAAAGATAATATTATAAAAGATTTTCATGTTTTCTTCATCCCATAGCCACGCTTGTTTACTCAGTCCCCTTACCCAGACAGTCTTGAAGCAAATCTCAGCTATCATATAATTTCATCCATAAATATTTCAACATTTTTCTCTAAAATATAAGGACAGTTAAAACAACTATAATATGCCATATCTAAAAAAATTAACAACAGTTTCTTAGTATCACCAAACATCCAACCAATATTTAAATTGCTCTGGTTATCTCATTTTTAAGAAACCACTTGGATTGTTCAAATCAATACTCAAATAGGGTCCGGTCCATATAACACAATTGGTTGATATGTGTTTTAAGTCTCTTTCAATCTATAGTTTCCCCCATTTCTCGCTCCTTTTTTTCCATGCATTTTATTTGTTGAAGAAACCAGGCCATTTGTCATACAGAGTTTCCAATAATTTGAATTCTACTGATTGTATTCCTGTTGTTTGTTTTAGACTCTTATCTTTCATGTTAGAATCTTTCCTCCAATGTCAAGTCATCCTTCTTTGTTATATTCAAGAGAGGGGAGGGAGGGCAAAGTTAATTTGAGCCTGATACACATTGATGGGGCTTGTTGGCACTGGCTTTACTTGAGGTGCTGTTAATGACTCTTTCCTTGTGGGACCACCAGTGTCAGTTTCTCTTTGGCTGTTCAAATCACCCAGAGAGCTTCCAGGGTCTAGGTGTTGCTGCCATCTTTCTGGAAACCACGTGGTGGCAAAGGGTTGGGGTGACTATCTCAGTGTGCGTGTGTTTACCCAATCCCCGTGTTCATTATAGTTCCCCCTCCCCCACAAGCTGTGCTGAGTCTCTCACCCGGAGACTTACATTTTATACTTTCCAGAGAGTGTAACTTGGGATACGTATCTTTTGCCAGGATGGAGAGGTGTAGTCACACAGCTTTTCAGAGTAGGTGCCTGGTCTGGGGAATCTAGCTATTTCTTAAGAGAAGTCAAACAGATCCTCTTTTATTTTAGCCCTGCCATTGTTACCTACTTCCAGTAATGCCCCCAGGGTCTTTTGGGAATTCTGTGGTATAAACTGGATTAGCCTTGGCTTTCTCCACTGCCAATTTAAGATTCAGCTCTGCTACTTTTCAGCTGTTGAAATTTTGTTATTGTTGTCTCCTCTCAAGTTTTTATTCTCCTATAGGTTTTATACCTTAAAAAAAAATCTCTCTACAGGGATATCTATGATTCCTGGAATTCAGTTGGTTTTTAATTTTACTGGTGCAGGCATAATTGATTTCTTACCTCATGACTCTTTAATTTCTGATTGAAAGCAAATAATTGGATAAACTTGACTTTTATCATCGCAGGAAGATTTCCCCTGGATAAAACTATTGTAGATCATTTGGATATACGCGAATAGCAAGCACAACGCACCAAATCTTCAGGTGACAGCTCATGAAGGTAGTTGCATATAAAGAACCCAAACTTCTAAGTTTCTCACAGCAGGTAGAACCCTCCTCCTTCAGAACAAGGACTCACTCTGTGTGTTGTAAAACCAGCTGCTCCCACAGCTGCTCAAAGCCAAGAAGCAGTTGGCAGGATCAGGACATTTCATCTGGTACAGGGCCCTGTTCCAGACTCCTATCGGCCAACAAGGAACAAGAGTCCAAGCCTGTCCAGGCTTCTTTAGAAAAGCAGCTGGGAAGGCTCCTCTGTGTCTCACTGAGCCTGGCTGCGGGCTCTTCACGGGGCTCCTCTGGAAACTTGCTGGGGTGATTGCTTTTCCTTGGATGACT